AGACATCGTTTTGAGCCTACTTCTATAATGGGAAACACCCCGCTCACAGGTTCTCTGGGCCACCTCCATCTTCTGCCTTCATGATGCCTATGGCATTTGGTTTTCCTTCCTTCTTTGTGGTCCTCTCTGCCTTCACCTACCATGACCTCCCTCTTCTCTTGCTCTCTTTTATTATTATTATTTTATTTATTATTATTTTTATGTGTATGTGTGTATTGCCTGCATGTAGTTAAGTGCACCTGTGTTGTGCAATGCCCGTGAGGTCAAAAGAGGCTGTTGGATCCCCTGGAACTGAAGTTATGGACAGTTGTTAGCTGTTGTGTGGGTACTGGGATTCAAACCTGGGTCTTCTGCAAGAACAGTGTTCTTAACCACTGAGCCATCTCTCTAGCCCTTTTTTAAAAAAATTAAAAAAAAAAACTTACTGAGAATTTCATACAGGCATATAAGCATATAAGGTGTTTTGATCAAATCCATGCCCGCTCCCTCCCCTCCAACTCCTCCCATATCTCCCCATCACTTTTTTCTGATAACTTCATGTACTCTTTCTTGTTTTTGCTACTCTAACATTCCCCCCTCTGAAGAAGTGACCCTAAAATCTTTAAGGGATTATATAAGAGCTCCCAAATGCTTATGACGTTTTTGGCTTTTGGAACAGAATATGTTGCTAAGAGGCCCAAGGACATTTTGACTTTTAGCCAAGAAACTACATTTCTTTGGGGTCTTTTTACCCTAACTGCCTAGCCAATTCCTACCTCCTATTCTTATCACACCATCCTCTGAAGAGGTTACCCAACTTGAGGATAGGGAATTGGGATGCAGACTGCTCTGGCTTCTTCCATGCCAAACAGGGTACCCGTTCAGTGGGTCTGTCCTTCTTTGCTCTTTTCTCTTTGATCTCTCCATAGCTTATTCCTCTTCCTCCAGAAACAGGTTAGCCCAGAGGGCCCCTTCCGAACTTCACTGAGATGTAAAAACATGTATCATGGTGGTATTGCTGAGACCTCTGGTAGTACAGTGTCTAGCATTGTTGTCAGTTAACAGATATTTCTGGAAGACAGATACTGATGCCACTGTTGGGAGCCTAGCCTTGTGTTAGTTACACATGCTGGCTTTTGATCGACCCCCATGTACTGCAGAAAGTGGGAGTGTGTACACTGCTTGGAAGTAAGCATGCCATAGCAAGGTGCCACTCTGGACCTAGGCTGTTTCACGGCTTTTAACATTTGGAGGAATTGTTTTTTTAAGCACTTACCTTTTAGGAGGCATTTTTCTTACATCCCTGTCTGCTGCCTCTTGTCCTTATTGAAAAGTTTTATGGGAGCCAAGATTGACCATGTGCCTTTTATATACAAGTACCAAACGAGGGGTTGTCATTTGGGAGTTAATTAGATACTATGTAGTTTTGTGTATAAATTTCCTCACCAGAGTACTTTCTTCACTATGTGAATCTTGGTCATTTATAACCAGGGTGTTTCTGGCCTGTCACTATGGGCTTTGTACCATTGCTCTAATTCATATTGTGATTACTGTTTAAGGTGCTCTGAAGAATTACAAAAAAAGTCAGTAGTCTCCTGGGGCAGTGGGGAAGGGATTCTAATTTTTTAATATTTTAGAACAGGCACAGATCTTGTGCCCCAGTGTATATTTTGATCTTTTATCCACTCAATAAATTAAATATGTTAAAATTTGCCTTTAGTTCTTATAGAATGTATAGATACATATTGAATCAATCATTCTTCCTTAAACATATTTCTGCGCTTACTTAAATATAAGAATAGTGTTAAGTGTAAGGTAAAAACTTTTCTTACTCTTTATATTGAAAATTTAATTTTCCCAAATATGTATGACATTTTATTTGTTGCCTGAAGTCACTATCTCGGTCTCTCTGTTACTTCCTAGTTTTTAAATTCTTTCATCTGATAAATGTATCCATAACCCCACATTTACTGTGCATCCTGTTTTTTGCTGATAGGTGCATTTTATTTGAAAGATGTCAGAATACAAGTCTAGCTATCCCAGCAAGTGAGTGCCAGTGACATAGATGTTTTTCCTCATAGACGTTCTCATCTTTGTCCACAGTTTCCCCTCCGTCTTCCTTCTGCCTTCATGTCAGATTTTTCGGGTGGTTCTCTTTCCAAAGCTCTTCTACGTTGGGTCTTTATTAAACGTTCTTGCTGGCTCTTTACCTCCCTTCCATATCGCACAGTGTAGCTTAAGGCCACACGACCTGTGTTCACATGAGAAGAACCAGGGGACGTGTAGGAGCACATCTGAGTGCTACAGGGACATTATTCCACTTAGGTTTTGTTTCCATGTTTTCAGTTAAAAAAGAACCTTTAGAATGAGAAAATTTGAATAAATATTGGTAAGAGGAACTTGAAGGCAGATGAGGATATGGTGTAACTGAGAGAGAGGGTTCTGGAATACTCCGTTTGGCTAGGTTGACTTGAGATAGGCTCACTGTGGTGTAAACAGTTACAGAAGTATGGAGATGAGAAAACTCTCATTTAACTTTTGAAAGCAGTGAAGTCAGATGATTTAATTTCTAGATTAGTAAACATGACAGTCAATAAATGGATTAGTTGAAAAATGGACTCTTGAGGATATAGAAATTAAAGAAGATGATCACCAGTAATGACCAATACATTAAGAATGCCATACCTGATTAGTCTGAACTTGTTTTTCCTGAATAATGCTTATTTCGTGAATCAGAAAAAAATGCTAGTAACCTAATGTATTTAAATAAGAGAAAGGCATTTGACAAGATTTTTAGCATATATTTTGGGTTATGCTAAAATGTTGCTTGCAAGTCTTACACAGTTAGTATGTTAGCATCATGCTGCCTATTGAAGAAACATATTTATAGTAGAAATAATCATTCAGTCTGAGAACACTATTTTTGTATGTTAACCAGTGCTAATATTTATTGCTTATAGTTATTTTTGCACAGAGAGACTTAGGACTGTATATCATTCCTAATAAATGGAATTATGCTATACATACTATTTATAACTTCTTTCTTTACTGATTCATATTAAGAAATGTTAGCATGGTGATAGAATCCTATAAATTTATTCTGGTAGTCATGGTTGCACATGCCTTTAGTCCCAGCGCTGGGGAGGCAGAGGCAGGCGAATCTCTGAGATTGAGGCCAGCCTGATCTACATAGTGATTTCCAGGTCAGCAGTCTGGGGGGCGGGATGTTCTGCATTACATGTCTTATTTTACCACTCTTTTATTTCATACTTTTGCTTTATAATTTTAGAAATCCTCTACTTAAGCATGTACATAATTTTCTAACAGTGCAATTGTGAACATCCTTATAACAACCAGTGTCACAGTTTCCCTTTGTTTTTAAGTAGCTGTGTGCATATCAGGATCATACTCAATACCCATGTGCAGAGTGCTTCAATGAACAGCTAGTATTATCTGGTGGACTGTGAACCAGCCAAACACCTTGGTCTCCTGGAATTGCCAGAGTAGGCACTGAAGGAAAGGTCTACATTCAGATTTTCTATTTTGTAGATCTTAGTGTCGCTTGATAGTCGGTCTTTGTCCCTGTCACTGTTCCTTAGTAGGAGGAAGATGGAACTAACAGATAACTGTTGTAGAACTGGTTTAAAATCCAGAAACACTAGGCTTAGTAGACAGATCCTGTTTTTATCACCTATTGATCTTTAGCCTAATGAACTGTGCTACGCTGCATTAAGTCCACTTTCTTGATTTCCTGTGTTTCTCATACTGACTACTCAGAAGCTAAATGGGTACTGCTTGGTCATTTCACGTATTCATAAGCAAAGAAGTCTTTTCTCAAATGGCAGCTTTTAGACGTTGTTTCTAAATGTTGTAAAATAACTTGGTCATAAAAGATGTGGAAAGTATGATTGTGTCAGCCATCACCAAGTGAGGCTTTCTGTTGTCGTTGAAGCAGCAGGTACTCTCACTCCGCCAGTTCCCCAGTTCCCATCACAACTGAACAAGGACTCCACTACAAAAATGTGTCCGAAGAGCACCCCTTCTTACTGCTTCCACCCCAGTAAAGTTTGGGGGTGAAGAGCGAAGACTAGAACAGCTCTGGGTTTGGGTTCTGGACCTGCTGCTTACTAGCTCTGAACCCTTAGGCAAATTCACCTCTACCTCAGGTTTCTCACATGCAAGATGAAATTACGTGCCTGCTGCTTCCTTACATGCTGAACTTTCTGAGTGGTGACTGGTAGATGGAGAGCATCAGTGAATGTTAGCCATTGTGACTGTCATCCTCATCACTCACTATTACCACAATCTAAGTCTAACCCACCGTTTCAAATGACTTCTGTGAGATATCTCAAATCATGAACTAACTTGCTGAAAAGTCTAGAATTTTCCAGTTACTTAACAAATCTCAAGTCCTCATTATAGTCAGTGCCCTGTGTGTTGTGACTTGAACTCTGGCTCCCTGGGGCTTCCCAGCCTCATCCTTCCTAAGCAATAACCTTTGTGAAGGGGGTCTTGTTCTTAATGGGACTCTGCTCTGTACTGTTCCACTTCCAAGTTAAATTGTTTTTTCTTCTTTCTTGTTCTTTTGTTGTTGTTGTTTTCCTACCACTTTAATTTTCTTGTTTGTTTTGCTTTGACTTGATTTGATTAGAATACCAAGGTTGGAGTCCAGGGCCTTTACACATACTAAGCAAATGTTCCTCTCTGTCTCTATCTCTCTGTCTCTGTGTCCCCCCACCCCCCACCGTGGGGCGTGTGTGTGTGTGTGTGTGTGTGTGTGTGTGTGTGTTCGTTCATGCTCACAGTGCACATGGATCAGAAGGGTGCTTGCAGGAGTTGGTTCTCTCCTCCTATCTCTCTAATAATTACTTCCCATCAGTCACTAACATCTTGTGGTACATAAGTATGTATGTGTTTCAGTGCACATATGAAAAGTATGTAATTATTCATAACATATCTCTAAAACTAGATACTCTTCACTCGTGGATTTGTTTTACTTATGAATTTATCTCTCCTTTTAGGTAAGGAGGATGAATATCCAAAGAAGCCCTTGGGGCAGCTTCCGCCTGAATCTCATTCTGCTTGTATTAACCACATGAGTAATGGACAAAGAAGTGTTGTCAGGCATAGTCCCCAGATAAGCGGCAGAAGAGAAAGTGAATCGCCTCACAAAAAACACGAGCGTTCCCCCAACCACCAGAGCAGAACTGGTACACCGGAAAGAGTTGTGCAGCTAAGACCAAAATCAGTGGATGAGGATAGTAAAACTGTGAAAGATGAGGCAGATTCTCAGAGAAAACCTTCACCAGGTTCACAAGACAGTTCTAAGCATTATAACCATGCAGCAGCTAACCAAAATAGCAATGCGATTTCAAATATTAGGAAGGAATTTATGCCCAAATGGAAAAAACCATCAGATACTTCAGTTATTGAAAGAACTACCAAAGGTGCCATTGAAGGCAAAGGTCGGTCAATGCACCCCACACTTACAGGCAGCACCTCAAGTTCTGCTGATACCCAAATATCAAACTCAAGGCAGAGGATGAAGGTTTTGGATGCCAGTGATGGGAAGCGGGGCTCCAATGCATCACAGTATGATAACGTGCCTGGGAGTGCGAATGAAGACCCAGCATCTGTGGACGAGGCCCCAGAAAGGGCTTACTCTCAAAGCCCAAGGAACACCACTTACTCCAACAGCCCCAGGAAGCATGCTGAGCCAAGTTCCAGTCCACTGAGAGTACCCAGCAAATTTACTTTCAAAGTGCAGCCTCCCACCCACATAAAATACCCATCCCAGTTAGAAGGGGAAGATCCTGGGGCTGCATATCCACCCTCCTACAGCAACCCCCCTGTCTACTATGGAAATTCTCCAAAGCACATCCCTACTACCCACAGCAGTTTTGTGTCTCCACAGATCAGTCCTGGGGTTCAAATTAACCCTTCCAGGAGACCTTACAGTTCTACCCTTTCAGTGGATATTTCTCCAGAGAAATCTTACAGTCGCCCAACTCCTGTTGTTCTACCATCTAGTCGAATTGAAGTCCTTCCTGTTGATATTGGCGCTGGTGGATATGCAGGCAATTCAGGGTCACCAAAGAATGGGAAATTCATCATTCCACCAGTGGATTATTTGCCAGAGAACAGAAAATGGCCAGAAGTTAGTTATACATACAGATCTGAGATGCATGGGCAGTCATGGACTCGAGATGCTAACCGTAGCCACTTAAGCAATCTACCAAAATATGCAGCCTTTCGTCATGTACCCTTTCAGGACCATGGCCTCCCAGCAGTTTCTGTAGATAGTCCAGTGCGGCATAAAACTTCACCAGCTGTGGAAGATGCCAATCCTGCTGGGTATCAATATGCAGGGCCCTCGCCTCCAGCATATCACTACAGAAATCGAGAAGGGCTTTCTGTTCAAGAATCAGTATTGCTGTGAGAATTCATCTGTGCTCACTGAAGATATGAGAATAGAAACCATAGAAGCCTACATTGCTATGTCTATAATTGCCAAAGCAGTATTTTATACGATTGTAAACAACTCACACAATTCTAATGTATGTCAGTAATAAGAGTTTGTGGAAATGTTTTCATTCCCGTGAAGATGCTGCTTAAGATGAACATTTTCAATGATACTAGGGGCCACTGAACCTTTTTCAAAAGTTAGTACGTATATTTCATTTATTTTTAGTAATTTTTGTTTTTCAGGGGTTTGTTTTGTTTTGTTTTGTTTTGTTTTCTTCTTGAGACAGTCTATCTAAACAGCCCAGGTTGGTCTTAAACTTTCCATCCTCCTGCCCCAGCCTCCCAGGTGCTGGGATTATAGACATGCATGACCATGCCCCAGCCTTAGTTTTATTGATTTTTTTTTTACTCAAAAGTATGTGATCATTTACTGTTGACCATGTAGAGCTACAGAAGACTCCATCTGTTCAAATCAAAATAGTAAAGATACTAGTCAATATGCAGTTTTACTATGTGATAACTGTTACAGTGAGTACATGAGCACAGCAACTGATTCAGTCCTGGGCAGAAGAAGTGGCAAAATAAGAAGATGAGGGGCTGGAGAGATGGTTCAGCAGTTAAGAGCACTCATTGCTCTTGCAGAGGACCTAGGTTCGATTCCCAGCACCCACATGGGTCCATAACTCCAGTTCCAGGGGATCTGATACCTTCTTCTGACCTTCACAGGCATTGCTCGATGTTGGGTGCACTTACATAATGTAGGCAATGCACTCATACACATAAAATAAAAACAATAAAATTTTTTTAAAAAAGAAGATGAGTGGAAGGCACATGGGAACTAGCAGGTCATGCAACTGCAGACAGCTGAGACTGGGCCAGGCAGTGTGTGCAAACTGGCTCAAGAGCCAGGCATGATGGTGCGTAGCTGTAAATCATGGCATTCAGGACATGGAGGCAGGAGGACCTAGTGTTCAAGGGTGACGTAGAATGTACAAAAAGTTTCAGGCCAGCATGGGCTACATAACAAGATCCTGTCTAAAGGAAAAAAAATCACAAAAAAACAGACTTAAGAGGAATTATGAGTCCTGGGTTGGATGCCCACCACCAAAAAAAGAAATTAAGAATAGTCAATAGTGTTTATAGTACAAGAATACAATATCCATTTAATTTTAATTGTTACCTTTTGTTATTTTACAATGTATTTCGAAAAATGCCATTCTAGTTGCCTTAACTGCTCTATATGATCTGGAATAAAAGAACACTTAGAACACACCAACATCAAGCTGAGATACCTGTGTGTACGGAATCATTATTACTTAGAACACACCAACACCAAGCTGAAATACCTGTGTGGATTGAATCATTATTACTTAGAACACACCAACACCAAGCTGAAATACCTGTGTGTACGGAATCATTATTATAAAACGTTATAGTGTTTTAAATAAGATGTGTGATAACACAAAATAAAAATCTGCTAAAACAGTTAACTGCTTTACTGGCTGTAGGAAGGAGGTGATTGTGTTTCCTTTTTTTTAAATACATCTGGTTCTGGCAGCAAGTGGCAGTATGTATTAAAGCACTAGGCCTGAAAACCTGTGTTTCTGTTTATACCTGTCACTTGAACCAGAGACCAGACACGTGGAAAAACATAGTTCTAGGTATCTTCAGTACCTCGTCCTCCCCAAAATCAAAGTGTTAATGAACTTAAAACTTCTTGGTCAGTGGCACTGGATGCTTTGAATTTTCTCTAAAAAAGAAGCCACAAAAATGCAAAGAAACCCTCCAAGGTCCAGTTTTCACTTCACATTCTCCCAGTAGCAAAATAGTAGCTCTACATAGTGACAAAATGAATTTCAGTTCCTTCTGTTTTTAATCATGTTTACATTAAAAGAGATTTAGCTGAATTCCCAAAAAGAAAATATTAGTTGTCATGTTTTAGAACCTTAAAAAAGCATTACATATGTGTAACTAGTTCTTATCTTTAAAAAAAAAAAAAAGTGCATATATGTATCTCACCTTCACTGAAGTCTTTTTTTTTCTGGCTAGATGTGAGAAATATGGTTAAGGGACCAGTGCTGACTGATTTATGAGCATTAATTGTGGGTCTTTTTTCATTCAGTGTGACTGCAGCATCCTTCTAGTAACAACACAAAAGGTAATAAAAGAAACACCTACCAAACAGGCTTCTGTCGGGCAGCTTGTGTTTGAAGTTAGACTCTGCCAAAGTGGCACTACGGCACTGTAGGCATTGCATTTTTGTTTTCTTGTTTCAAGTTTGCCAGTTCTTTTCTATTATTCTTTTTCTCTAGCAGGACAGTATGTCATCACAGGGTAAGGTCGAGAGACTACTTGCAGTTGCTCACACTAACACGGTGGACTTAATGCTCAAGAGCTGATGTAAACCAAAGTGAACAGTGGTCAGCTAGAGCCACGTTTGGTCACATTCAAATACTTCCAAAAGCACTTCATTACTGTATGTTTCCTTTTTAACTGATTTTATGTTAACCTTATTAAAATTATAGCAAGTAAGATTATAAAGATTTTCTCGTAAAGTTGGGTTTTTAAGGGATTGCTGTGTTGAAATGAATATATTTCAGTTGCAAAATGCCACTAATAATTCCCTTTCTATAAACATGGTTGGCAAATTTTTAAAGGCAAAGAAGGGGGCTAATAAGATGTTTCAGTTTTCAATGAAGAGTACCAAAGCATGTGTCATGTGTCATTCATGAAGAAAAGCTGACAAAAATATTCATCAACTCATGTACAACTTGAGCTATGTACAGCTTCTCTTCAGAGAGACCCTGGGGCATGAGGAGAGGATGCATTTTCCTAATTATATGCTTCATGTAAAATAGACTGTAAAGCTGCATATATGTTTGGTTTTAACCGTGGACCCATATTTTTCAAAAACGTGAGACAGTTAAACAAAGGAAAACAATACCAAAATACTTCATAAACAGATTCCACCTGTAGCCTCCGTATTGTTTGCCATTGTGAGATAAAATGTCCAATAAAAGGTAAAATGCAGCATGTGCAGTGCTGTAATCTAGAAAGTCTTCGTGGTAACTTATTGCAAATTGCAACTTGACAGTTCGCTCCAGAAGTGAAAGGCTGCCCCTTGTTGGTTTGCACAGCCCTTGAGCCCCAAACTGAAGTTGAAGTCATCAGTAAAATGGTCTGGATAAAATGTTTGCTGCTATGCTCAGCCAGCTAGCTTGACCCTCAGGCCTGAGGCCCGGTGGCTGTTTTCTCCTTCCACAGGAGTGTCTCGGAACGGGACCAGCAGTTCTTCCCCGCTTTCACTTTTCACAACTTACTGAGCTTTCATGGCCTTGGTTGATGCTATTGCTGATGCCAAAGCCTCTGCTTTCAAATCTGAACAGATTCGCACCACGCATCTTTGAACAGCCATTTGCAATTAAAGCTAATAATAACTTAAATTTTTAACAAAGCCTCTTCACGTACATTTCTCTTGAGACGTATCATTGGGACCATCTATGTGCAAAACCACTTTTTTTGGCATATTAGTTTGTAGTTCCCGGGGGGGAAAAAAACCGAAACTGAGCTCTCCTTGGGCATGAATTAATTTTATTAAAACTATTGCCGTCAGCCATACTGGAGGAGCGAAGAATCAGCTTTCAGAGGCCGGTTTTGTTGATAGTCTGTACAACATTTGGAAGCTTATGATTATACCCTGTTCTCCTTTCATCTTTTCTGTGTTCCCAAGACATCCTGCCAAATATAAGAGAGCACGCAAAGCTGAGTGGACAGCAGAGGTTGGGATGGTCCATAAATAAAATAAGTCCGGACAGACATCCTTGATCCTGTTTGAGGTTCTTCTATTTAATGGATCTGCTCCTAAGCCTGGAAGCTGGTTAACTACCGATGGAACATCAGGCTCTTAATTCAAGGTGGTGGAAGAATTCATCTGTGCCATTCTCATGAATAAAATCTTAAGTTCCTCCCGAGTTCTGGGTTTCCTAGGCCTGCCTGCCGCAGCATCAGAGCTGCCCCAACCAGCAGACAACCTGCGGGCATCCCTGACCAGAGCCAAGGCCTCTCCAAACTCACCTAACTCTAGGATTCCCAGAGCCCACCATCAGTGAACCTTTAAAAAGAGTTTATCCCAGCATCCACTTGGCAGCTAACAACTGTCTGTAACTCCAGCCCAGGGGATCCAACAGCCTCTTCTGACTTCCGCGAGCATTGCACGACACAGGTGCACTTACCTACGTGCAAGGAACACTGCATATACATAAAATAAAAACAACTTTTTAAAATTTAACCTGCCAGGTATGGTGGCGCACACCTTTAGTCCCAGCACTCGGGAGGCAGAGGCAGGCAGATCTCTGTGAGTTCAAGGCCAGCCTGGTCTACATAGTTCCAGGGCAGCTGGGGCTACAGGGAGACCCTGTCTCAAAAAGACAAAAAAAAAGGTTTGCCCTGGAAACATAACAGTAACGTTTAGGGATACACTCACAATAATGATTCTTTACTCAGTTTCGTGTGTATCTTTCAAGCCTAAATGTTTTTACTCTATTGACCCATTCTATTTTGACTAATGTTACAAAGTATTGAGCACTGTAGAAGTGATTTTTTAAAGCTGTATGTAGAGTGTGTGTAGTCTTTTTCATAGACGTAGGCATCTGTGCATACAGACTTGATCACAGAACATAAGAGAGTTTTTAAAAACTACTTTTAACCTAGATCCATGGAGTAACATTCTTTTAAAAATACTGTATTTCAAGCTACATTTCCCCCCTTACACTTTTAATCCAGGTCTAAACTGAAATTGACTAACGAGTTTGTCCTGACTTTATTGATCTCCATCTCACAAATGTTACCACTTTTCATTTACTGCCATTTTATTTCCACTTAAAATTAAAGACATTGAGGAGAAAGGCTAACCACTTAATGGTGCTTAAAATTTGGGGCATTTAGCCTGAAGTGTGTGGCTGGCAGCGTAGCACTCACCATACCCTCTTACCTCGGGATCAGTCTTAGTTCCTTTGTGCCCCTGACCCAGGTCTCGCTCTCGCACAGCATCTGCCTATTCCTTGCCAGATGCAGGGAACTTGCTGCTGGAGGAATTGCAATTCATGGACCATGCAACACTTGGGCAGTGGAAGGGTTGCCTCTGAAGTTCATTTGAAAGCAAGATTAGCCTTATGGATACTTCTCTCTCTGCCTCAGAGAATTTCATACATGCATATAAGGTGTTTTGATCAAATCCATGCCCACTCCCTCCCCTCCAACTCCTCCCATATCTCCCCATCACTTTTTCTGATCACTTCATGTACTTTTATTTATTTTCTTATGGGGCTTTTGGCTACTCTAACATTCCCTCCTCTGAAGAGGTAACCCTAAAATCTTTTAAGGATTAGATAAAAGCTCCCAAATACTTTTGACATTTTTGGCCTTTGGAACAGAGTATGTTGCTAACAGGCCCAAGGACATTGTGACTTTGAGCCAAGAAAGTGACTACTTTTCTTTGGGGTCTTTTTTACCCTAACTGCCTAGTCAGTTCCTACCTCTTGTTCTTATCACGCTACCCTCTGAAGGGGTTTACCCAAACTGCCAGTAGGGAATAGGGACGCAGACTGCTCTGGCTTCTTCCATGCTGAACAGGGACGCAGGGTGAGGCAATTGGAGCACCCCTTCAGTGGGTCTGTCTAAAAGACTCCCAAATTGCATAACTCTTATCTCTAAAGATTTCAAAAAGAAAGTCCTGAATCGTGAATAGGAGATGTGAAGAAGTAAAGGCACAAGTAGTTAGCATTACAAGTTCTAGTCAGGGAACTAGAAAAAAGAATAGGACAATTTTCAAATTTCATATCAGAGTCCATTGGTATTTCTTGACAGGGGCTTCCAAAAACATCCCTCTATTGGGTTCCTCCTCATTTTTCTTTGGTCTTCTAAGGCTGGACTCTAGAGTGATGGATTCAGGATTTGCTTTCGGGTACTTTGATAGCTGTTGTAGTAGTTAGAATCAGTGTCAGTTCCCTCTTGAAGGCTTTTAGAAAGGGGGAGAAAACAAATTTATCCATGATTTTAGAATAGCTGGTTTTCTTCCTTAGCTACAGGTGGGCACTACAGCATTGGAGACCAAGATTTGAAGTCCTTATGTCTGTCTGCCTCAGATTCTTACAGGCCTCACCTGGAAGGGCCCCAGGAGGACCATTCACATGGTCTTGTTCTGGCACTCCATCTTTACAGAGCATAGTCAATAGATATTGCTACACATATTGGTCCTTCCATTACCCGTGTTAAAAT